CAAAAAAATAATTTTATAAATTTTTTTTTCTTTTTTTCTCATTATCTTTTACAGTCTATTACATTTATTATATGAACCCAAAATTAATTTTAAAGATATTTTTTTCTAAATGGGTTTATCTATAATTTCTTTTAATAAATTATAATGATGAGTCTATTTTGTAACATTATATTTTTTTTTCCGTCTTGTTGTGAACTTGATTGCGACAATTACACTATTTTTGTGGTGTATTAATTTGAATTACAATCACCGAATTATTTGGAGAGGATATTTAAGGTGGTTATTTTCAATATTAAGGTATTAAGGATGTATAAGAGAGTTACAATTTTAGAATTTGGATGGTGCTGGTTTGAAAACTCAAACAGCCAATGCACAATCCAAAATAATACTTACTAGGTTATCAACTAATTGTTTGAGTTGTGAAATAATCAATTTTGTTAGAATTTAACTTTTTTTAATAATATTATATATGAGATTATATCTTTTGAAATATTTAAACTTGTGATATAAATAATTAAAAATATTTTTTTTAAGTATCTTTAGTCTTATATTGTAATGTAAGTGTGATGGAATGTTACATTTTACTTTCTAATTTATTCTCAAATTAATTAGTATCTTTAATTAAGATTAAATATTTGCATTTATTGAAAAGGTGAAACGATTTTAGTAATATATATATATATATATATATATATATATATATATATATATATATATATATACCTGCATTTAAAATAAATGTAATTTTAGTCGCATAAAAAAATTAATGATATTCTAATTTTGAATGAAGGATTAATTTTTTTTCTTCTTCTTCATACGTTCTCAAATCAATTACTTTCTGTTTCTCAAAATTAGTGAGATTATTTCAGTAAATTATATTTATTGATATTTTTAACACAATACAATAAGATTGAATTATAGTAATTTTGGAACGGATATAGTGTATTTATTGGTCTTCTTTATGTAACAGCGAGAGAACATATTATTCGGCAGATTACTTTAAAAGTATAAAATAAAAAGGGGAAGAAAATATAAATTCAAAAATTGAAATAATAATAAAGAACTGCATAATGCAGGTCATGCTGTTCAAGACAATGTAGTAAAATTTTATTTATTTAACTGATCAACTAATATATAGTTATTTATTATTTAGTTGTACGAAGAATATAAATAACTAAATTTATTTGATAAAGAAATCTCCAATAATAATAACTCATGAGTTAAATAAATAACATACAGAATATTTATCAATTTATTATCAACTAGATTAGTTTACTATTTATATAAAAAAAATCTCTCTCATCATAAATATATATATATATATATATATATATATATATATATATATATATTTATTTTTTTTTCTTTTTTTTCTCTTTTCTCGTTCATTCTTTTTTTTTCTTTTCTATCTTATATCTTTTATTTTTCTCTTTACTTCCTAACTTGTTATCCTAATTAATCTACTACATTAAAATTCAATAAAAAAATATATTAAAATTAACATTTCGAAAAACAATGAAACTAAAAAAATATTAACTAATTATTTAAAATTATGATGATAATAAATAATTTTATTTATTTTGACAATAAATAATTAATTTAAAATTATTTTATCACAATAAATAATTACTCAATTAAAAAAATATCAAATATTTATAAGTGTATTTTTTATTTAATAATTTAATCTTATTATAACTAGAGCCAGTTATGATAATTAGTTAGATTAGGTAATTTTAAAAAAATATTTATTAAAAAATTAATTTGAAATAAATATTTAATTTTTTCATAATAATTTATTAAATAAAAATAATATTTGTAATATTTTAAATTTATCTTATGATATTTTTTAAATATGATATATTAAATTATAATATTTTTAGATATTTTAATATTTTTATTTTTTCAGTAATAACAAAATATTCTCCTTATCAAAGATGGAATAGAAGAAAAAAATTAATAATAAGAAGTAAATAAAAAGAGGAAAAAATAAGAAAAATAAAAATAAATATAGTATGTTAGACAAATTTATTTATTGTTAAATTTTGTGTATAAACAATAAACCTGTCCATTTGAGCAAAGATATTTCTCTGATAATCCAATGAAAAGTTTTCTTAAAGCAACTAATGGTTATCTCCTGTTTAGTTACTTTTTAAAATAATGATTTATGATTTCATATCTTTTTAAGTAATTTATTATTTATTGTACTTTATTAATTTACCTTTATTTTTATTTTTTTAAGTTGTTTAATGAAACAACTATAAAAACAAAAATTAAGTATCACATAAGATTTCTGCAATGAAAAATTACTTCAAACAACTAATATTTTATTTAAACAATTATCATTGAAGATGTTCTTAATAATCTCACCAAACAATTCCTATTAAATATGCTTTAATTGTTCAATCAAACAACTTACATAAATAAATAAAATAAAGTAAATAAGGAGATAATGGGTTCTTTAAAATTTATTAAAAAAATTAATAAAATAATTTAATAAGAGTATGTTAAGAATATATGAAATCATAAATTCAATTGTTACAGTTTTTAATATAAGAAGTAAATCACTTAAGTTATTCCTATTTGATATACTAATTTAGAAAAGTTGTCATAAATTATTTTTAAAAATTTTAAACTTTATTAAATGTAAATGCTTTGTTTAAAGTTTGATAACATTGAATAATTAAACTTAAATTTATTAGTTTAATATATCTAAATTATTATAAATATATTTGTGAAATTTTAAACATCTAAAAAATATATAAATGTTTTTATGAAAAATGGAAATAGTCATCGATAATATCACTAATTATATATTTAGTAATTTTCATTATTCAAAAATTAAAATGCATACTTAAAATTGAAAACTATAAAAAATATATAAATGAATTTTTTATCCAAGAATAGTTGAAATTAAATAATCAAATTAATATTTAATAGTTCTAATTATTTTGATTTTTTTTATGGTTATAACAATTTAATAACTTTAGTTTTTTTTAATAGTTTTTAGTTCCTTGTTATAATAATTAAATATATTTGCATATCTGTATTTTTAATATTATATGTTTAAAACTGATTTGCATATTAAGTTATTTCAATTAATTATAAATAAAATGGACTGGTAAAATGTTGATAGAATAAAATTTATTTAAATTTTTATGATTTAAATATACAAATAATACTAAATATTATTATTAAATTAATATAAAATATCTTAAAGACTTAATGGAAAAATGAATATAATCTTTTAATAAAGATTGATATTTTATACATTTATGAAGTTGACTTGGATCTGTGACCATTGACGGGTATAATTTTAATCATCTTTTATGCACGAACGTTTTTAATAAATAAAATTGATAATTACTTGAAAATTTTAAATATATAAGATACAATGTTACATAATAATAATAATAATAATAATAATAATAATAATAATAATAATAATATTATTATTATTATTATTATTATTATTATTATAATTATTATTATTATTATTATTATTAGTTGAAAACTTAATATTTAAATCAGTTTCAAATATATTTAAATTTCAAATATGTCAAAAACTTAATGTAATGAAATATACTAATCTTAAAATCGATTTATCAATTGATAGAGTTTATGTGAATTTGTGGTAATTAATTGGCGCGAATATTGTTCTTAATTTTATATTGTTTCATTCACTCACTGATTTTTATTGTCAATATATTAATAAAATATTAAATTTATAAACTAATTTTTTTAATGGAATAATATGTAGGGTTTTTAGTTGAAATTAATTTTCTTAATTTTATTTTTTTATGCAATTTAATTTGACTGCGTTAAGATAACGACATGCTGAAATTCAAATTTCATAGTTGTATTTAAAAATACACTCATTGATCAGTTATATTTTGTCTGTTCTTATTAATAAATAAGTTCATATCATAATAATAGTAAACTAGTTATTTTCTTAAGAAAAAAATAATTAATTTCAAATAATTTTAACAACATAAAAAAAATAAAGAAATATATAAATATACATTTTTAAAGTTTAAATATGTTTTTATCCCACTAAATTTGAAAATCACTTTAGTTTTCACAATTTTAGTTTTTTCGTTTTGGGCCTCTCCAAAATTGAAAATAACTGTTTTTGTCTCTTGAGAGATTTTAAATATGTATCTGAATAAAATATCAGCAAACGATATTTTTAAAGAAAATTTAAGAAGTTATTTTTTTTATCTTATAATAAATACTAAAAAAACAATTTTGGAAGAATGAAAAGTAAAAAAAATTCTAAAATTAAAATTAAAATAGACTTGTAAAATAAGAACTACGAGTAGTTATTTTATAAAATTTATATGGTTAAAGTAATAATTATAAAATATTTTTTGGACAAGCTTTTTCATGAGAGTTTCTTGAAGTAAAAAAATAGAAAAAATATATAATTTTTTATAAATTAAAATTAGTTTATGTATAAACGAATTCGTAAAAGTTTTCTAATATATAATTTTTTAAAATTTTATTTTAACTTAAAAATAAAATAATTTGAACTCATAATTTTTTCTATTCTATAAATATTTATTAAGAAAATCGAAACTTTCATTTTACATTAATGTATTTAAACCTAATTTGATACTCTCTCTCGTAATGAATCCGTACACTGTACGGTTCAACGTTCATTACATTAAAAAAATTTATGACAGTATTCAAATGACGGACACTAATTAGCCAGTGTTAAGCCATTAATAACCCTGCATTTGTCAGTAATAATCAATAATTACTCTTGACATAAAGCCAAAAATGGTTTCTTTCCTCTTTAAATATTTCCATTAAAACATAAATGTGATTAAGTTTACTCTCTTTATGCATTCTTTGCTGGCATTTGCCCTTCTCAACTATTTATTGGTTGACCCATTTTCTTTAATTAAGAGTCAAATTCATTTTCTTGCACATAAAATAAAACCATGAATAGTGTTGGAGGAAGAAAAAACAAGAACCAAACGGAAGAAAAAGTGGTATCGATGTCATGGAAGGAGGAAGAAGAGGCCTTAAGAAAGGACACAGAAGACCTTAAGATATGGGTATGTATTTATATATCTTTCTTCTTTTTTCTTTTCATTTTTCATTCTCAAGACACACACTTTTTTAATATTTCTTCAACAATTTTTTTTTCTTTACCCTAATTATTTTGATTGTTTGATAGATCGATATGATAGAGAATATGAATGACGAGCAGCTAAAGGGGTACCTAGAAAATCATGCTGGAGAATTAAAACTGACAAAGCCTCAAAAACCCAAGAATAAGGTAAGAGAATCGTTTGGTTTTAAGATGAAAGCAAAACAATTGGGAGAAAGTTTGTAAGAAACACAATTTTTTTGCTGAGGTTGAGTTTTAATGATTTTAGCCAATTACTGTAGTATCTCTAAAATGTTTTTGTTTGTATATAACATTCTTAGTTTTTAATTCTTGTAGAGGTAAAAATATTTAAAACAATTAAAAAATATTGATATAAAGAGTGTCATTATAAAGTTGTTAATTAAAACAATTAGGATGGTTTTTAGTTTTTAAAAAACAAAACAAAAATTGTTAACATTGTTTTCATGTTTTAATTATTAAAAACTAAAAAAAATATGAAAATTGATATCATATGATATGTTCTTGTTTTTAATTTCTATTAATGGTATCAATGTGTTATAAAATTCGTTTCGTAAATTATCAAAATTATATTATAATTTTCAGCTTTTTTATTTAAAACAGTTTTTGAAATAAAATTATTAAACAATTTTTTTATTGAACTATTCTCAAAACTGTTTTTAAATTTAATTATTATATTTAACCACTATAACATAAAATTTAATTTAATATACTCTAATTTTTTATCCTCTATTAAAAATGTTATGAATTGATTCAATTTTAAAAGGTTCTAACTTAAATACGTTGAAAATGTGAATATTTAAAATTTTTCATTATATGACTAATATAAATATCTATGGACTTTATTAATATATAATATTTATTAAAAATAAATGAATATTTAAAGTATTTATGAATTTCATTATTTGCTTTTATTGTGGGGCACCGCACCTGCTCCCAATTTCGTTGAACAATACATAGCTGGCATTCTGTTAATTTGAAAAATGGGGCAATGGCATAATTAAGTAGGTAAATAGTTTGAAAATAATAAATGAAAGTAATTAATTTTCTTTAAAATTATCCAAACGGTCCAAAACTCCTTCTAACCTTTTAAACAATATATATATATATATATATATATATATATATATATATATATATATATATATATATATATATATATATATATATATATACATACTTTTTTGAGTTAGACTTCTTAATTGTAGGGAGATATTTCGACAATGCAAGTTAAATATTTAATAGTATTATTATTATTATTATTGAAAACACATCCTACGTTTGTGTATCTTATTTTTTATTGAATTTCTTTATTTTAATGAATTAAAATTTTAATATATCTTAAATTAAAATATAAATATTTATTCTAATGGAAGATAAACAATCGTAGAAAGTTGTGGGAGGAGAGAAATTTTTTTAAAAATTATAATTAATAGAGTAAAAAATATAAATTTTTTATTTATTTTCATTTATTAAATTTTATTCAAAATAAAAAATTAAGAAGGACGTAAAAGGAGGGGAAGAAAAAAAATAATTTTTATTTTTAATTCTATATATATTTAAAAAATTGAAGGAACATGATTGATTGAAAAGAGTAAAAGAGAAAGAAAAATAATTATTCATTCAACAATGACGAAACACACCTGATAATTCTTTGATATTTTACTAGTGGAGACACATGTTCAAGTATGTATGAATTCACATAATTAATTTTTTTAAAGGTATTTTTTTTATTTTTTTCTCTCTCATTTTTTAGATATATTCAAGTTTTTTTTTCTAATATTTTTAAACTGGTGAGACATGAGTTTAGACAATCAAATTTAATAAATAATGATTTTTAATATAAAAAATACATAAAAATTGCATTAATAATAATAATAATAATTATATTTTATAAAAAATATTTTAAATATTAATAAAAAAAATACCATTATGATCATTATAAGTTATAAATATAATATGAAATACAATAAATTATAATCGTAAAAATAAAATAAAAATAAAGAAAAATAAATATTTTTTAAAATTGATGTAAATAACAATTATTACATTTTCTATAAAATTTATCTTATAAAAAATAAAATAAAAATAAAATATTTTTTTATCATAAGAAGTTTGTCAATTTTTCGATTTTATAGTAATTTTTTCCATCAAATTAGAATATGGTGTTTTTTAAACAACATACCAATTTTTAAGCGAATTTTGAATTTTAGAACACTATTTTTTTTTCACTCATTGAACATATCACATTCTTTTCTCTTTTTTTTTATTATTAAAAAATAAATTATAATAATTGTTTTTTTCTATATAATCACTTTTATTTTATACATAATGGTATGATATATTTGATAAAAAATTAATATTATATTATAAATGCAATATCACCAAAAATGGTAAGATAATTTTTAATAGGAATTTTTTTATTGAGATATTTAAATAAAGTATTAATTGCTTAAATTAACTTCTCATTATTGAAAAAAATAATCTTATGTGACATAATAAGTTCCTTACTTTTTTTATAGTTACTTCATCAAATAACTTAATCTCTAACCAGAATAATTTATATAAGTTGTTTCTTGAAAAATCTAAAATATATATTTGTTGTACTATATCATTCTTATTTAATGAAACAATTATATATAAAAAAATTAAACAACTTACCATTTTACATAGAATATCTTAATAGGATGTTGTTTGAAGGAAATAATACTTTATTTAAATATTTATTGAATATATTCTTAAAAAAAAAAGTAAATAAGGAGAAAGAATATATTTTTTAAAATTCATTAAAAAATTTAATAATGAATTGTTTAAATATGATATAATATTTTAATTTTTTTTAAGATAAGAAATAATTCTTTGATATGTTCGTAAGGAGGATTTTTTTAAAAATTTATTTGTTTTCTCTATCGTCACTTTTTAGATGTACCAACTTTTTTTTTCATTAGTTATCTATCATATTTTACTGTTTTTTAATATATAATTCACAATAATTACTTTGAAAATTATAATATTTTATTTTTTCTTTTACAAAAGAATTCCTTGTATATAATTATAGATATAGATATAAATTTAATGATAAAACATAATTGATAAAAAAATAATTAAAGATTGTATTCTGGTTTTCAGGTCCAAAGCACTGTGAAGTCGAAGTCTTCGACCTCCTCCAACGGGATTTTGGCTTCAGTTTGGAGGTTCCACAAAAAGTAGTACGAAAATAATTTGTAGTTAATTTCTCAAAACAATTTTCACATGAAAGGTTTCTGTGTTTATTTTCTATGTAGAACATGTCACTCTAGAATTTTAAAAAATTGTTATTTATTTTATCTAATCCCAAGTTTTGTTCAAATAAAAATATATTTACAGTTTCAATTTTAGAAACTTCGTAAAATTTAATTTTAGTAAATTTTACGGTATTTTATATTAATAATTTAATTTTAACTTGCACGGTCTGACATTGAACTCAAATATATTAATAATTTGTGTTTAACTTTTTTTACTATTTAAATATACTAGCAAAATAATCGACAGTTTATTTTATATTTTTAATTAATAAATTATTTAAATCGTGTCATTGTGCGATTTTTTTTTCTATTTATCCCTTTTCATTATAGATTTTCCACGATAGCGTAGTGGTCTCCAGTATCGAATTCAAACCTGTGATTTTTGTAATGGTTTTAAAATAAAAATATATTATTAAATATACATATATATATATATATATATATATATATTTGTTAGTAGCAAATCGAGAAACACAATCGAATCGAAGGAAAAGAAATATGACTCGATAAGATAAACAAATATTCATTCGATGTCCAAATTGAAACACGTAGCATATAACATCGAGAAGCACAATCGAGAAATGAACAGTCGTTGCCAAATAAAGACTAAGTCATAGTGTGGAATCGAGAAGTCTGATCGAGAAATGAATCGAAAGGGAACTTTCCTGATGTCCGATTATAAAGAACGTGACACATAAAATCGAAAGGTAAAATTGGAAGAGTAGGCGTAATAGTCGAAAAGCTTAACATGGAGTTAAGGTTAAAATAAATCGATACCAGGTATGCAAAGTTCTCGATTAAATCAAAGGGAAGGCTCGTTTTCGTAGATATCATAACCTTGGCTAAACCTTGAAAGAAAGTAGTCAAAACGCACGTACTGAAAGCAGTTTCTAAGTGATGGAAAAGTTGAAGATCGTGAGAACATGGGAAAACTGTAAAAAGAAACTGTCATACGCACGAAGAACGTGGTAGCAGTCTCGTTAACTGCTCTTAGAAGGCTTGAACAACGCCCTATAAATAGAACAAAGAAAGGAGAAACAGGGGGAGGGGAAATTGGCAGAGAACAGAATCAGTAGTGAAAAGTCTACCGGAGAAACGACGAACACCATGAAGTTTCTGGCAATCTGGATTTCCTTGCTCACTGAGTACATTTATCGCTTTCTATATTTTCCTTGGTAATTTACTTTCGAGCCATTTCAATTCAGCAATTTCATATTCTTGTAGATTACATTCACATTTCGATTTCCTGTTATTTACTTTCTGTGCAATTTTAATGGGTTTTAGCAATTTACATTTTCCGCACATTTCGATTTCCTGTTATTTACTTTCTGTGCAATTTTAATGGGTTTTAGCAATTTACATTTTCCGCACATTTCGATTTCCTGTTATTTACTTTCTGTGCAATTTTAATGGGTTTTAGCAATTTACATTTTCCGCACATTTCGATTTCCTGTTATTTACTTTCTGTGCAATTTTAATGGGTTTTAGCAATTTACATTTTCCGCACATTTCGATTTCCTGTTATTTACTTTCTGTGCAATTTTAATGGGTTTTAGCAATTTACATTTTCCGCACATTTCGATTTCCTGTTATTTACTTTCTGTGCAATTTTAATGGGTTTTAGCAATTTACATTTTCCGCACATTTCGATTTCCTGTTATTTACTTTCTGTGCAATTTTAATGGGTTTTAGCAATTTACATTTTCCGCACATTTCGATTTCCTGTTATTTACTTTCTGTGCAATTTTAATGGGTTTTAGCAATTTACATTTTCCGCACATTTCGATTTCCTGTTATTTACTTTCTGTGCAATTTTAATGGGTTTTAGCAATTTACATTTTCCGCACATTTCGATTTCCTGTTATTTACTTTCTGTGCAATTTTAATGGGTTTTAGCAATTTACATTTCCCGCACATTTCGATTTCCTGTTATTTACTTTCTGTGCAATTTTAATGGGTTTTAGCAATTTACATTTCCCGCACATTTCGATTTCCTGTCCTTTATTTATCTCGCAAACTTAATTTCTTGCAAATTCGGGGTTTTCGCACTTTCTTGCAATTTAATATTCTCTTTGCTCGATTCGATACTTTACTGTTTTGTTTGAGTCAAGCATTTTAGACATAAAATACCAAAAACCACATTTTCGATATCCTGTAGTTTTCAATTCTCATACGCGTTTTCGATTGAAAATCAAATTGCTAGCCTAAGTAAAAAGAACTTACGTGGTAGAATTTTGATTAGGACCAAAACACCCTTAGAATCGAAATCGATCGAAATTCCACCAGAAACAAATTGGCGCGCCGAGTAGGGGACTTGTGTTGAAAAAACACAAAAGAGGTTAGTTCGAGAGTGTATGAGATTAAGAAGTGGGAGAGTTATAAGAATGAGTCAGAATTCCTCAAGTAGTCGGAATAACAATGAGGGTCTAAGTGGTGTGCTCCCACCAAATCCTGGGGGCAAGGGCAAGGGCATAATGGGAGTATACCGGTAGTGTCGACAAGCTGTGAGCACGTCGATACCAATAAGTAATGAACAAAATCCAGGTCCATTGGCAAACACCCATGTAGGAGCTAGTATAGCAATATCAAATAATATGCAAACTATGGGAAACCCCATAACCACATATGCGGGGCCATATACTAGTGTAAGACCACCTGGTTTCTTATCCAATAACATGAATGGAACTGGCACTTCATCGATACATAGAAATTCACGATTCAGCTTAGGAATGCCTCAAAACGTAGGTACATTTCAAACCCTAGGCATGCCACAAAACTTTGGAGTATCTACACATTTAGGGGTATCTCAAAATTCGAGTGACATCACAAAATTCGGGGAATGGACCAAACTTAGGGATACAACGAGACACCTCCAAATCTAGATCCTAGGGGGAATCTCGATCATGGGAGATATGCATTTGATAGGGACTTTCATCGATCTAATTTCGAGAATATCGAAAATACTAATACTTGGGATTTCCGGTAACTCCCTAGGAATACTTAGACAACAAATGGATGAGAGTAATTTTGAAATGGTGAATATGTTATCACAGCGAGTTGACTACGGTCTTAAACCCATTAGTTCAAAATACTACTGCTAGTTTCGAGATATTAGCGGATCAAATGTCTCGAATTGGAGACGCATTGGCTGTACCTCGACAAACGAGGATTGAGAATCATGCCAATCAGAATATTAATCCCCCTTATTTATTAAGAAGGAATCGGAACAATGATCAATATCAGCAAATGGGGAACGAATATCAACATGTGAGGAATGATATTTACGGAAATCTGAATGAGGGATTTCAAAATATTCATAATCAAAATAATACGCAATATAATCACGATGTTAGGACAAAGGATGAATTTCCAAGGGACGGATGTAAGACCACCCAATCGGACATATTTTGTGTCTCCTTTTCCAAATGCGATTCTCGAGACGGAATTGCCTCGAGGATACAAAATACCCAAATTCACTAAATTTGTTGGAGAGGTTGGTGAATCAACTATCGAGCATGTAGCTCGATATCGAGATAGAGTGTGGGGACTTAGCAATGAGTGAAGAGTTAAAAATGAAGTATTTCCCTAGTTCCTTGACTAAGAATGCTTTCACTTGGTTTACTTCATTGCCACCCAATTCGATATATAATTGGTTTCGAGTTAGAAAGAAATTTCCATGAACAATTCTTTAGAGGAGAAACTCAAGTAAGTCTCATTGATTTGATGAACATAAAACGATATAATCATGAAAACATAGATGATTATCTGAATCGATTTAGACAAATGAAATCAAGATGTTTTACTCAAATTCCTGAATACGAATTAGTCGGGATGGCTTACGCAGGTTTAGAATTCTCGATTAGGAAAAAGTTGGTAAATTTGCCATTAAATGACATGGCTCGAGTTAGGCGATAAAGTGAGGAGAGTGGAACAAATCGAGTATGAGAAACAAAGGCACAAGAAATTTGAGAAACACTGTGAAAAAAGAAAGAATAGCCTATATAAATGATGTGTATGAAGTAGATACCTCGACGAAACTGATATCGAGGAAAATGTTGATGAGAAAGTAAATATAGCAGAGCTCAAAGTAGGAGCTCCATATACTTGTAAATTGTTGCAAAAGAATGAAGTGAAGGATAAAATGGCAAGCCAGAACCTACACTTTCGATGTAACAAAAGCGAGATAAGATCTTCGACATTCTACTAAAAGATAAACAGATTAAGTTAGCGAAGATCACAAAGCGCCTTCACGAGAACAAAGGGGTGGTCGAAAATATTGTAAATTTCATAATATTTATGGACACTTGGACTAACAATTGTATACATTTCGGGAACACGATTCAAGATGCAATCGACCAAGGAAGACTGAAGTTTGGAGAGACATCGATGAAAGTGGACACGAGTCCGTTCGAAGTCCAAGTGGGATATGTTGAATCCCAAACTGAGATGAAGGATGACGTTAGACTGATGAATACCACCTTCATAGGCATGGTCGATGTTACTGAAGACATCGATCCCAAACATTGCAGAATGGACGTATCAGAGGAAGATATGGAGTTCGACTTGAGCGAATTCGAAAAAGAATTTGAGAAAAAGATATATCCTCGAGCGGGAGACTCTCTCGTTGAATTTTTGAATAGAAAGAAAGAAAAAGACGAAGACGTGTCGCTATGTCCACGGTGTAGTGCGGTTTTCGATAAATCAGCTGCCAAAGCTTTCAAAATTGAACAAACAAAGAAGATCGAGAGTCTAAACAAAGGGAAAAATGATAAAGTGGAGCAAACGGCCCGACCAACTATCGAAGAAAGTCAACGAAATCTGTTGGTTACGGTATTAGCGGGAATCAAAGGCAATGGGTTAGAAGAGAGATGTATCCTTCTCGAGGAGGAAGAGGAAGACTTCAAAGTAGTGATGTCTTCGAGAGAC